AGATATATATATATAATGAGGAAGAATCACAAATGGTACTAATTGCTAAAAAAAAAAAGAAAATTAACAATCTGTAAAATAGAAGTGCACCGAAAAGCATAGGCATCTTCATCATAATCTAAATATTATAAATTAAAATTACAAAAAATAACAACTAAATAAATTTAAAGAAAAGAAAGAACCACATGGGTTTTAGTCATCAGACTCATCACGAATCATGCCCATTCATATTAGCAAGGTGGCAATTGATTAATGCAGTCTAAGATAAAAAGTAAATTCTTGAAAGATCAAAAACTCTTCCTCATCAAAAAATTTGAGCATGTAGAATGGGATCATGATTTGTTGAATAATGAAGTCATATTTCTAAAACTAGCCGCTGAAAGACAAATCACATCTGCAGGTCCAAAATCATCGCATAATAGACTCCTTTATGAAAGACCTGCCTCCTGAACTGTTCATAGAGAGAGAGAGAGAGAGAGAGAGAGCTTAGAGAGAGAATTCCATGGGTTTTAATCTCAATATTTATAGGCTGGCTACCTGTACTCGAGGTGAATATTCAAAAACCGCGGGTTCTCCATACTCTGAGATATGGTAATGGAACCTTCAATCACTTGATCTTGTATGACCTCTATTGGTTCATACAAGTATAGGATGGTCTGAAATGCCAAAAAAAGGAAAAAAAGAAATGAGGAATTGCCATTCTTATAAAATTAAATATCTAACATTTAAGTTTTTATATTTACTTGTATACAACACAATTTAATCTCTGAAAGACATTAAAAAGATGACCCGTATTAACTAATATGAAGAGAAAGCACGTGCTAACGTCATTTATGCACGGGAATGTTATATAGAAGTGTCAAACCAGTCCCCTGACTATTTGAATGGGGATAGTTTAGTCCCCATACTCTTTTAATATGGATTGAAATAATCCTCGAGAAGGGTTATTTTAGCCCCCATTAAAAGAGTTTGAGGATTAATTGACCCTTTTATAGATTATGAGACTAAAATGCCACTTTACAAAGAGCAAGGGGACAAATTTTTGACACTTTTCTCGAAAATAAATATAAAACTTTCAACCTAAAACATACAACTACATGAAGATTTAGGGGCAAGCATGTAAATAAATGGCGCTCTAAATGGGAAAGAGAACCTGAAAATGAAAATTCAACAGGAAAAAATAAACCGTGCCTGTTGCCAATGGGTTGGTTCGTCCTCTGGTGCCGTGGAAAGCACAAGCACTTGATCATATTTAGCTTTCTTTCTCGTCTGATTATTATAAGCAGTAGAATATAAATTGGAAGTTGAACCCCCAGAAAGTAAATTGTCGTTGGTAGGGAATGTTGAAGGACCGTTGAACTCAGCATCGAACCAAAAAGCAAAGCCATGGAGAGGAGCTTTCATTTTTTAAACAATGATGTTAGATTCAACTTAGACCAAAAATAAATGAATAAACAAATAGTTAAAGTTCGTATCCAGAGTATAGAAAATCAAAGAAAATTAAACTTTTTATAATTCGCTTGCAAAACATGCAATTTGTAAAAACAAATCAGCCACAAGAATTTGGGCATTTCGGGAATCACTTGAGCACAATCATAAGTGGGCATCATCTGCCATATTTAATCTGAAATGAGCATAACATGAGAATACAAGGAGAGAAGAATATTTGTTTTGGATATGAACATATATATATATATATACATATACATAATATACACCCAAAACCTGAATTTGATTTAGTTTCTTCAGGGCCACAAAAGAATAACTAGTATAAAAAACAAATGCGCATACCTTGGCAACAGCCTTTGGTGGATAATCATTGTTCAGCTTAAGATCTACACACTGTTTAACTTTGTCTTCTATATATATATATTGAAAGGCAAGTAGTGTCAATAGAATGAGAGATTAATGTATTGGGTCCATTGCATAGATAAAACAAGATTTCGCAAGAGATAACTGGGCAATTTTTTGCATGTTATTATTAAATAGTAGGTGATGAGGCCGGTGGGCATCGACATTGGTGTTGATGGCATGCATAAGTCTTTATATGACAACATGCATCAACGATGTGCACCGACTATGTGCATCAGTTGGCGACTAGGTTAACGAATATCTACATTGATGTTGATAGTTTGCATCGATCTTATAAGCTAAACTCATTACAAGATTCAAGTTCCTATTAGAACAATTTGAAATTTTTAGTATTTTATTATGCTTATTTTTATTTAAATTAGGTAGGGATAATCCCTTTGAATAATCTTATTTTAAAATTGAATTACATGGAAAGATTTAATTTAGATTAGACAATCAAATTAATTATGAATCCCGGCATAGCCATAACGTAGCTAAAACACTACAAACACGCTCTGGCCTTCTCTCAAGGAGGCCTAACAAAACAGCCCATTTCAAGTTTCTCAGTAACAAAGGTTGGGCTGATCCTATCCATGGAAGTACATTACTGAATTAATAGACCACTGACAACCAAAAACTAACTCTAAGAAGTAAGAGACTGAAAAACTGGCTCAGCATAAAGAAGAAAAGGGTATTAAGAAAAATGTACTTGTATGACAAATTTTATCACGATACACCTCTTAGGCTTATTGTCTAAGTATGGATGGCACACGAATAGTCCAGTTAGCTAAGTTATATAACTCTCATTACAAAACTTACAGGAGAAGTATGACCAGAAAAGAAGAACAAACAATCAGTAAGATTCATTTGAAAATGAGAAACTCTTACCTCTCAACATAGATGTGAAATTATACTTCGCGGTAATAGATTCAAGCTCACGAGCTGTGACCGTGTAGCAATCTATAAACTTAACCTGTACATGAAATCCACACAATAAATTTCTTTTTAAAAATTAAACAAGCTTTCAATGAATTAAAGCTATAAGATCAGTACTCAAGATAGTAAATAACTAAAACCTTCTCAAAATCCTTTAACAATTAAAAAACCACCACATAATGAGCAATGAAAATGTAGAGCTAGCCAAAGTCTAAATAATATAAAATCTAAAATTATTTGGAGAAACAAATAGCTGACTTAACTAGAACCGACAAGCTTGGTGAAAGAATACTTCAATCAAGTCCCTGGCCTATGCTACATATTAAAAGTGGCATTAAACGAACCTACTAAAATTAGTAGACCCATGGAAATTGGCGTTCTTAAAGATCGAGCCATTGCCCAATATGATTTGGCATGGAACTCAAACAAGGAATGTGTTCCCAAAAAACTTCATGTTGGTGACCTGAACTTGAGGGGAATAGCCTCAGCACACGTCTAAAGAAGTAATCGGTACGAATAAGGATGAAAAAAAGTGCTAAGAGGAAAATAGGTTTTGTGAATAGCTAGGACACTTTTATAAGATGCCACAAGTTAGAACATTGATTGACATTGTCAACATGGATCGAGCATACTTAAAATTTTTTGCTCCAAGTAATGTCTAGTCAAATTAGGACGATAATACCTGTACATTTAATCTTAATCATCATATTCAAACCAAATTGGCATGTGTTGCACGACACTTTATAGATATCAGATAAATTTATTAGATTTAATCGATTTAAAACAACTAAACAAACTTAAGTAAGAAAGAACTCTAAGATGACATCATTTAATACTATAGTGACCATTGTTTGATTTTTTTTTTAATTAAACCAATTCTTGAATAGCCCTCCCTCTTCACTCATTGTAACACCTGACACACACTAAGTGCTATGAAGCACGAATGCAAGTATACGTGGAGTATTAATAGTACCGGATTTGAGTCCGGTTGTCGATCCCACAGGGAACAAGGAAAACTCAATGAAGAAATTCTACCCTACTATTTTTCAAACCAAGTCTGAAATGTTTGATTCACAAGTTCAATTCTGAAACCTATTCTAAAGTTATGAAAAACAAGTTTGTCCTAACAAGCAAGAAGATTATTTATGAGATTGAAGGTTCGACAGACTTCCCCCTCGAATTGGCTTAGTGAAGAATATAATTAAGAAAATTATGAAAGCCCAGTGTCAATCAGGAGCAAAATCCTTCTTTCTTATCTCTTTCCGATAGTCTAAGAAAGGTTAGCTATCATGAATTTAGTCTCTAAATCCCATGATTCACTCAAGCAAAAACAACTCCCTATTGATTGCATAAACTTAAACGTAATATCCATATTCAAGTGAGTTTATGTGGTTAACAATTTTTACTCTACAATGTATCCTCCAGTATCTCAAAGTTCATGAGTGGTTTTAACTATACCATAGGCCAAGCAAAATGCAAATTAAGTTTAAAAATTAATACAACACTTTTAGAAAGTTCAAGCACAAAAAATAAAAGAAACCTCACTTTTATCCTATCACATTCCCAATCCAAGGAAGAAATAAAAGAAACTACTCACCACTCATGATAAAGCACATCAACACAATCACTACATTAAGAAAATCAGTCATACACCAAGTCTTTTACAAAGAAATCTGAAGAAAAATATAACTTGATTGTACTTATCTCCTTCCCAAATAAATAGTGCGATGAATCTTAAACAAGTAGGAAATTTTCTCTCAAACTCACAAACACAATTGCACTTGATCTCATTGCAGAATTTTTGACCATCTCCTTCAAGACTCCTCTCCAAATTTTTGCAGAAGAAAAATAAGGGAAAAAGCCATCACCTCTTTGTTCTCAAGTTTTGAACTGCCAAAACTGTCAAATTTCAAGTACTTAGCGCCTAGGTGCCACTCACTTGAACAAATTTTCTGATCATCTGGCGTCTAGGCGCTAGTATCGCGACGCCTAGGCGCTAGTATCGCGACGCCTAGGCGCTAGTATCGCGAGGCCTAGATGCTGACAGCATCGCTTAGGCGCCAAGGGGTAGCGCCACCTTTCTGTTCTCTGGGGATTTTTGCTCCATTTGAGAAAGGACTCGCGCCTAGACTCCAATGACAAAATTTTCTCATTTTCTCCAATTCAATCCATTTCGATTCCCGTTTGTCCCCTTTCCTGCTTCAAAATCTGCAAAAATAATATAAAAACTTCCTCAAAGTGCAGTATTATCACGTAAAATACAAAAATACAAGTAAAAACAAGTGCAAAATTATCAACATATCAACACCTCTTGGGTTTCATGAGGCGTATCAATTTTTTCCATGTGAGGTTGCAAGAAATTTTGTGCTAGTATTTGTCAATTTTGAACCATTACCCTAAACTCTAGCCTCAATGATATGCCATTTGTTTGATTAGCTAGATCAAGCCTCATTCAAATTTTTTTTTGTGCCATTTCTTTGTTAATTTTTTTATTTTTTTAGTTCTAAGCATATACCTCCTTAATAGAGTTCAAGAGGTCATGCCACTATGCCAATAATGGAATGAAATGAGCAAGCCTCAGTTGGATCACTAGGTTGTCTGATTAAGGTTATATAAAGAATTTGTTGCAGAAGCTTTAGAATTAGTTTGCACTAAAGTGCTAACTCAATTTTGTTAACCTCAACATGCATTATCAGAAACCTAGGGTTTATATCTCATTTAATAGATCACCATCCATCAAAATAAAGATTCCAACCTAAACACTATTTAAAGTTTTACACCTCAAATTGTTCACCAAGAAATTCCTAGTCAAGAGCAAAGTCACATAAAATTAGAAAGAGAGCAAAAAAATCTAATAGTGCTTGTACATTAACCTTTTATAGGGCATATTTGATGTCAAACTAAAGCTACAACACTGTCCACTTGGCTAGAGGAGAGATTAATGCTAATCTGGTCAGGATGATGCTGATGGATCCAATTCTTTTTTCTACTTTACCCTTACATATCACCCAATATAGTGGAGGCATTTGTTTTCCCATTTTCATTGTATTGGGAGAGCAATGTTCTTAGTCACTTTTCTAAATCAACTGCGTATAGAACCATGATACTTTTAGGATTAGTGCTACAATCATTGGGAAATGTACTGAGTACTACTTGGTGCAGTTGAAACATTTTGACAAAGATCATCCTACATAAAGGGAAACTCCTTCATTAACTAAGATAAGGGATGACACTCCCAAAAAGGCTAGAGATAAACCTCCAAATGTTAAAAAAGATTGATATTGAGGTAAGTTCAAGTTATGTTTGAGCAAATTGACATGCCTCAAAATTGAATACTTTGGGTTTTATGTTGTTCAAAGTCATCACAAAGTTGAAATAGTTGTGCTGGTGAAGATTGATATTGAGGTAAGTTCAAGTTATGTTTGAGCAAATTGAACGTGCCTCAAAATTGAATCTTTTGGTTCTTATGTTGTTCAAAGTCATCACAAAGTCGAAATAAGTGACTTGCGTTGGCACTGCTAAAAATCATTACTTAAATTACACACAGGCACAGACACAGACACAAACACAAATAGACACAGACAGACACACAGACGCACGCATGCACGCACAAACACATGCACGCACGCACAAACACACACAAAATTTAACTATATTTAAGTGAGTCAATTGAAACTTAAAATCAACTAAAAATTAATTCCAACTTTTAAGCAGAGCCAAAATCAACGATTGACTTTGAATTGAATCAAAGTTTGAGTGAATTTCAAAATATTCTAAGTTTTTGATTATTTTGAGTAGCCCTAATTTGAGTCATTATTGGGAGGTGTTTCTAAGATGCCAAAAAGTGTACAAGTTACAAGTACAAAAGAAATTGGGATTTTAAAATGAGCACACTGAGACAATATAAGACCATTGGGAGCCTTATGATAAGTGATGTTGAGGCTGCCTGAAGTTGTGAGAGTGTCAACACGTATAGCATAGCTTAATAGGAGCATTGGGAAACACAAAAGATGCAAAGGACATGATGATAATTGAAACCAAAAATTGGTTTTAAATATAAAAAAAAAGAAAAAAAAACAAGTCATTGACAAAAGCCGATCAGGCAACTAATCCCATAGGCCATAGCCCCATCATCTTATTATTTAAATGGTTAGATTCTAAAAAGATTCTATAAAATATGTAGCTGGAAAATTCAATGATTAATTTCTATTTTCTAAAGCTCTTTGCTAAAGAAACTCGTTCATCAATCATCCTTTCAATAACTAAATAGTTGAAAATTATGTTGATATACATATGCAAATATATGTCTAGAGTTTGTATAAGTATTAAAAAAAAAAAAAAATTTCTTCATTAGATAGTTCACGTATGATTGTATGCATTCTATTAATACAAGATTTGACATTCAGTTTTATGATTATTTTACTCAATGCTACCAAAAATACTAGGCACCCACAAAGTGTTATGGCTTTGCAAAGCCCAAGATAGTAGTAGGCATCGCATCAAACGCCTGCCTTAACAAAATAAGGCATTATTTCACAAAGGCTTCATTTGGTGCAACCATTTACTAGCTCGGTTTTATGGTCAGCTGTCAAAAAGAGGTTGTTGGTTGGACAAACCAGAAAAAGAAAAGTAAAAAGATAGTTTTTCCCCTAACTTGCATTAAAAAACCTACATTTCAAATATCAGAATAAAAGTCTTGGCCCAAAAAGCTTCTTCAATGCTCCGACAACAAGAAGAAAAGCACAAGCCCTGCTATATAAACCCAAAAAATCAAATAAAATCACAACTTGAAAATCTACTCATTATTTATACTTGTAAAGAGTATAAAAAGACAATATGTTAATACTAACACGTGATAGACAGGTAAAATTATAGGATTTCAAGATTAATTGCATTCAACAATCTAAAAATTTCTAAACACATTACGAAAAAAACACAAAAAACGTGTTCAAATAACTTACATGGCTAAACTACTGAACATTACAATGTGCATAATTTAAGGTAAAGTGGCAATTATAGCAGAAAAAACTCTCCAAAAACTCTCTAGAATTTTGAAACAAATTAAAAATCAACATGAATCATTTTAAATTAATTCAGAAGCAAAATTTATGGATAAAAAAAATCAATATTATGTCAAACCACAGTTACACATTCAAAATATGATTTGAATCAACTTGAATTATATAAAATTATACACATACAAGCGCATACAAATAAAGTTATTTCCATAAAGTTTATTTTTTCAATAGAATATTATGAGTAAAGCAAAGTATTGAGTCAAAAGCAATCCGAGTTCAGATTGTATAAGAACTGAACTAAAAAATTAGTAGTTCAAACCAAGCTTATCTTTTTTAGCTTGACTGGACAATACTGAAGTTCATCAAAATTTAACAATTATTAATTCCATTTTCATCATCATCCATACTTTACACTCCCTCACTAGATGTTAAACTCTATAAATATCTCTTTTATTGCCTCAGACTTAGTCTCATCACCAACAGGATCTAGAACTCTAAGTAGTTAAAGCTCTCGCACCCACCCTTGATCCAACTTCTTAGAGCATGCCCTTTGTTTCAACTACTTGTCATGCACTTTCCTATTTCACATCATTCCATGTCAAATTGCCGTTATGAAACTTAATTCAGCATCCGCTCTTTCAAGTATTAACGGTTAGCTCTTTAATCAAGTAAAAGCACTTGTCTCAATTCCTAGTGCCTCAAGCAAGGTGTTCATGTAAGCAACAAATGAGCATGAGAGCCATGACAAATAATATAACGTTGCCTTGCCTTACTTCGAAGTGAACCTGGTTTAATTTTAGGAAGAGATGCATATATACTACTCAATTCTTATGTATTTAATTCATATTTATTTACATATCTAACACCTGAATTTCAATTTTTACATAGAAGCAACCTTGCCTATGCATGAAAATGTGTAATTCACCTTTTAAAAGTTAAAATAGTGGTATTTTTAATATGATATGAAAGATTTGGGTGGTATAAATGTAAAAAAGCAAAATTTGTTTTAGACATATAAAATATATAGAAATTGGGTGGTATGCAAATGTCACTTAATTTTATTAGTGTTAGATGAGAGTCTCTACTCAAATTAATTGGTCATCACACATATTAGGATTTAATCTCTTAAAAAGTTAATGAAACCATGAGACAACAAGGATGGTGAGTATGAGGACAAATCCATCAGGTATGGTGAGTATGGGGACAATCCATCAGAAAGGAGCGCATGAAGAAAACACTCAACATTTGAGAGCACAAGTCTCCCTGTCGCATTTTTTATAGTGATAAAGAGTAGAGGCATAATTGAACAGATTTGTTTGCATATTGCAAACATTAAGAAAGATCATAAAGTAATACTTATATTTGAAACCTAACAATATTATTTGATATATTTGCTTTTAACCATCTATACACAACAATTTCTTTATCCGGAATGGATTGTGCATAGTGCTTAAAAAAACAAGCGTAAAGATTCGACTGATTTACAGAAAGCAATAAATGATCCCCCAACTTCCAGCTCATCTCCCACCTCATTTCTTTTTAAATCATAAACAACTTTTTAATAGTTTGATGCCTAGGATGAATAAAACTTCTTGAAGACCTCCATTTTACATAGATCGATGCTGTACAAGTATACAAGCAATGCCTCATTCACGCCCAAGCAAGTGTTGGATCCACTCCAAAACATTTTCACCATACTTCCTCATAAAATAAGTTGAGAAATTGGCAATTTCAAAATTTTCACAGAAACTGAGATGAAATAATGCCACTGTAGCTTTTAATATTTGATAAAAAGGATGAAAACTACATAAAATCAGACACGTTTCTTCGCATATAAATTAAACATTTTATTTGACATTTTATCCGGTAAATAAATACTTGGCATGCAGAACAATTTACCGGTTGCAACTAGAATAAAAGCAAGCATCAAAATTTATACAAGATAAATATTTAACCCAAGATATCTAAGTTTGAGTAATATGAGGAACTCACTACGAATGGCCATGTCAGGACATTCTCAACTGAAATTGTTTCAACAGATGGCTCCTCAAAAGCACATTGCTTTGCAAGTGGGAGCATCACAGACACTGATTACCAAGAGAAATTCATTAGCAATTTATCATCACATAATTTTAAGTTTATAGTCTCATAAATTACTCCAAGTAAACATATTTGCTAATCAAGCAAGTTTAAAAAACGCCACTGAATAGCCTTGTCACTTTCAAGAGTCGATTTTGAATAAAATATCATTCCATTCAATTAATTTTTTGCTAAATTGTTGTATGTTTGCTGTTTTATTCTATTGTAACAATAATAATTGAGCAAACCGACTGTTTTCATAACCTACAATTTACAATGCAAGTAAATTTGATGCTATTAGATAATTGAGTCACTAGTTTACTCACTATCAATTCCATAGACATCGCGCCAGAAATCTATGCTTTCACTATATCTTTCACTATGAGTAACAGGAGCCATATACAGCTGCAACAAAAGATGAATATTCAGTATGGGATCATCATCCCTAATTGTCATTTAATGGGAAAAAAGTAAGAAAATACCGTAAATGTGAACATTTGGCAGATCAGAAGTAAAATAGCATTTACTTAAGAGATGTACAAAATAAAGAAAGGAATCAAAATTTAGTAGAAAAATATTACTGTTGCATGTGAAGGCAGGATCAACCCTCCTTGTTTGAGCCAATTATCCCTTGCAAAAATCACACTGCTCAGCATGCTCTACATATGCAGAAATATAGCTTTAGAGTTCCAGAATTTAAAAGTACAAGAACTCCCAAATACTGCATTGCTTATCTCAGTTATATGATAGACCACAATATTCTTAATCGGAAAAATGCAGCTCACCTCATACAGAAGCATGTATCCCATCCATTCAGAAATTATGACATCTACCTTCTCCTCAATGCTAACTTTCTGCCATAAGATCCTCAATAAGATCCAAATAAGATCCAAACATCGTTTACAAGTGAGAACTTTGTCTCATAAAAGGACAACTAGTGACATCAAAGAGCTCAAGGCTGAATATTTCAGATATCAGAATCATCGAGTAAAAGAGGATGAAAATAGTTAACTTCAACTCAAATCTCTAAATCAATAAATGAAACAGGTTTAACATGAACACTCAAAAACAGAAAAGCTGATATATATAAGGAAGAAAATGGAAACAGTAAAATATAAAATAATAAAATCATACTCGCCAAACAGTGCTGAAATTCACAAAAATGAATTAATATTTGATGAGCAAAGAAAGACAACATTGAGATGTTCCCTAAATTAATCAATCCTAAACTCTGCAGCCCAAAACCAACGGATGCTATATTATATCCTTTCTTGGGCAAACCTAAAATAAGAATGACAGTTTAGCTCAAAGATTGGGATTGCTCAAAATTAAATTCACTTTTGATTCAAATAAGGCTTCAATTAAAAATGAATAAGTTTAGCCATGAGCCAAACTTTCAAAGGAATTCATCTTACATGCCTATTAGAAATAGGAGCTCAATCAAAAAATGAAGCTACAGGAGAGTAGTACAATAGCTCCACGCACACATAACACATATAATGTATGTGCACATGTAGCTCGCTATTGATACACATAGTGAATGAGTAAGCACACATAAATAGATATCACGTCAACATCATCATCATCATAATTAGCCTTATCATAACTATTTTGGATCGACTTTAGGAAATACTTATTTACCATTTGTTTTTGTCAATGTTGCCTGAGGTGTTAAACATATTATTCATAAATTATTTTGGACAAGTTTTTCAATGTTACCTTAAATCTACCACTTCTACTTTTGCGGGTTCTCAAAGTGAGCATCCGAAGTTCAATTTGGTTGAAGTTAATCGAGAGGGTATTAAATTTGTCAAGAGATTTTTCCTCACAAATAGCCAAGGTTTACCTATGATTTGAAAGAATCAAAATTTCTTTTAAGTGTAAAACCCCACGATTAACTACATTTTTAACCCTTAGAGAAAAAATACGCTTGATTGAGGGAATTAATTGTATTGTTAGCAATATACTAGAGATAGTAAAAGGTAAATTCGATCAAAATCTCATAATTTCATCATAATTGATTGATCTAATGAACCCAATGTACGAAAGTAAGATGACTTCATGCAGTAACTACCAAAGAAAAAAATTTGCATCAATGATTTTCAAATATTCAAAACATAATTGTAGTGATATAACAAAGGAGAAGTCATTTCATTATTATGCTCAAAACTCACTGTACTTATGAAGGCTCAAAAGCATGAAACTTGCAAATCATGGTTCAAATGTAATAAAAATGACTGATGAGATGTATCAAATTGTTAGTTTATACTAAAATCGCTTAGAGGCACATTAGTATGCCAATAGCGGTTAAGATATACTAAAAAATGACCAATAATGGCTTGAATGCAAGGCATAATTAATTATCTAACAGTAAAATCCAACTCACATTGAAGGGAAATGTCTTCAGTAAACCTTTTTTTAATGTAATTAGTATTGTGGAGACGCACTTCATAGTGAAACTATAGTCCACATAAAAAGTTTAACTCGACATTTATTCATTTATGACAAATCCCTTGTCCTTTAAGGCAATCAAATCTATGTGATAGAAGAACTTGCTTTGTATCTACAAATGACCCAAAGAACATAGACTTGAGTAAAGGTTGAAATCTGAATTTGATTTCAGCTCATTTCAAAGAGCCACCTTTGACGAAGGATGGGATGGAGATCCACTTCTACTTAGTGAGTTTCAGATTCACCCAAGCAAGTCATATTAAGGATTGACATATCAGTGCCAACTCATTTGATTGGACTTATGAACTTGCACTTACCCACTCACCCGAGAGTTAGACCACTTAAGAAAACTTGATAAAAACATGCAAGTGCAGTTTGAATTTGATTTGAAAGACCAAGTTTACATTTCAAATGAAGGTTCCTTGCCCTTTGGGGCAATCAACTCTACGTGGTAAAACTTGCTTTGTATCTACAAGTTACCCAAAGAACACAGACTTGAGTAAAGATTGAGATCTGAATTTGATTTCAGCTCATTTCAGAGAGTCACCTTTGTCCAAGGGTGAGATGGAAATCCACTTCTACTTAGTGAGTTTCAGATTCACCCAGGTCATATTAAGGATTGGCATATCAACACCAACTCATTTGATTGAACTTATGAACTTGTACTAACCCACTCACCCAATTGTTTTAACAAACATGTTGACTCAGAGCTAGACCAATTAAGAAAACTTGATGACAACATGCAAGTGAAGTTAGAATTTGATTTGAAAGGCCAAGTTTACATTTCAAATGAAGGTCCATCAGAGTTGACAGTAAGTGCTTACAAAAGAAGCCTTTCAAAGACTGATTTGACCAAACACATCCTCAAACAGCTATTTCGTGCTAGGTAGATTAGGCACCAAAAGTATGATTGGGCTTACAAGCATAGAAGCATGACTAAAATTTTCATTGACTTATTAGCTTGTGAGCTTCATTTTAACTTGTGGCCTTGCATTCTCATGCTCATGTAAGTAAATTTGACTCTTAAAAGGGCTTATGTTGGCCCATCAGCATTGGTAGACTTTATTTCTTTCTACAAGATTAATTATGTTTAGTTGCGTGTGCCAAGTAAATTTATGTTAGTTTGATCTACAAGGTCGAGTCTTGTAATTTTGAATAGATTGACAAGGCAGATGGCTTATTATCATTTTGTCAGAACTTCATGATCAAAATCTAGACTTCCCATAAACACATGCGATAATGATTAATTATACTGTCCAATAACAAGAGAGAACTTTATATTAATGTTCATTGTTAAGGTGTTAATTACCAAGCACATAGTAGTAACGATTAATTTTAGATTGAGAAGCTTTACCACACTTCTCCTTTAGAGCGGATGGTGAAGGAATAATGCGGATGGTGAAGGAATAATGACGAGTACATGATTCTGCCAACGTTGATTACCAAAGGTCCAAGTTCACTTAATTAAGGGAGGTAGTCGACCCAACCTACCCGAATGATCACTATTAGTACATATGAGTTGCATCATATATAAATAACTTGTAAACTTAGGGTGGATGCTAATTTAATGATAATATTTAAGTCAACCTTATCAAACAAAGAGTTTTATGTTCTATCAAGTGCACTAAAAAATTCATCACTTAGGAGAATCAAACCACTGAATAACTTATGAGCTCTGACAATGAATATATTTAATGGTATTATTTTATGGCAAACCATCGGGTCAAAAGGCCCCAATCATAACCATATTTTATGGTGCAATTTGTGACAAAATCACTTAATTAGATGACACAAGCTTTGTCTTTAATAATATGACACCTTTAAAAATATTAATAGAGATACACTGACATGATGTTGGCTTTTCGGAAACTTAAATCTCTAATAAACTGTTATAACAATTGGATATATTTTACTCTTAGCCTTAAACAATAAAATTTTTATTGGAGTATTTTAAATATTATGATATTTTTTTAAAATTCAACATCTTTATCATGACTTGATCCTAAATAACCTATATTTTGATTTAGAAGCATTTTAAATATACGATCACCTCCAATTGAAATTTTCTATCCATGAAGCCATTGTCGGGGAATTAGAATGATTTCACTTTGTCGCTTCAGACCTTATCGAGTTTGCTATGTTCTTATAGAGGATTGAGTTCCTAATTAGAATAACACTTTGACCCATTTAAATACTTGTCACACCATATAAATTAACGACTCCATTCCATGCATAGAGGATCGAGTTTGTAAATTGGGACTCGCTATTGACTTTTAGGTTCATGGCATTGAGAGAGTGCATTTTTTTAAATGGATTTTCTATTTAAAGAGCCTTAAAAGTATGTGAATGGAAGACAAATTAATTTTATAGGTTTAATAGGTGAGTGCTCAACAATAAGTTTACTATGCCAGATCTCTTTTAATTGAATTTGCAATAGTTCATCAAGAGCTAAATCTGCTGTAAACTCCAGTTCTAGAGACATATGACTTACTTCTTTACCCGATAGGCAAGATGATCTTCTTGAAAATATTCATGCGTATTGATAAATCTAATGGTTATTTTAAAAAATCGATCCCCTCCAACTATAATGCGCAATGACCATGCTCGTCATAGAGATAATTAAATGATTGCAATTTGCCATCTTTGGATCTTATCGACTCTTTTTGTTAGCATACACAGGATCAATGCCTATAAATTTCAATGTATGTATTTTATTTTGAAAATATGGAGGGTTGGGCATGTAGGCTAAATTCGCTATTTAATTTTATTTAATATATACAACAGTTTAACAAAATATCTTTAATTATATTAGACTAAAAATACGAAATTAAACATGATTCTTTATCACAAATCTCAATAACTCCAATGTTTATGACATAGAAGATAGAGTTTATGGCTCATTCAAGAAAACCTTTGTCTTCGCCCATGGCTAAAGGAATATCAACTCCATTATGATCTGAGTATTGTAATTTGCTACTAGTGGCTAGTGGAACTTCCTCGCAATCAAAGTATTAAAAACTCATGATTCCTTTGCAACAATTCATGGGATATATGGCTAACTATAGGTTGAGCATTTCGTTCAATGCTTATATGTGGAGTTGATTCCACTTATAATTTTAAAGAAATTAGTGAAAATATGGTAACCAAGGCATGTAAAAATAATTCTATTGAGTGTTAGATGAAGGAGATACTTTATAAATAGGACACAATAAAGAAAAAAAATTCATGTAGCCGACCCCACGTAGTGGGATTAAGGCTTTGTTTTGTTGTTGTTGTTGAGTGTTAGATGGAGGTTCTTTATAAAATGGTGCAATTGGAGAATGTAAATACTCAAGTTATCTCCTGTGTGATCCAAAAATTCATGCTTAGCACAATCAAAATTCAAGTGATTATTGGTTAAATT